CAGAGTGTGAGGCTAGGCAAAAGCATCGGGATGTGCGTGTACGTGGCCTTCGTGCTCCTGGGTTTGCCTGAAGGGTTATTACCAACGTCTCCTCTGTGGTCCTTTCTTTCCCCAGCAAGCCTAGGGAGGTTTTTTTGATCCTTCCCTCTTTACGACCCAACCCACCATAAATGTTATCCCTGGGTTCCCCTTTCTTACTCAGGAGCCCAGCAGTGATGAGCAATGCTTCCCTGGGGCCCAGTTTGAGAGTCTTTCATTCACATTGTGCCTTTGCAGATCCACAAACCAAATATTACTCTGTGGCCGTGGTGAAGAAGGGCAGTAACTTCCAGCTGAACCAGCTCCAAGGCAAGAAGTCCTGCCACACAGGCCTTGGCAGGTCTGCTGGGTGGAACATCCCCATGGGCTTACTTTATTGGAAACTGCCTGAGCCACAGGAATCTCTTCAGAAAGGTAAGTGGGCAGGAGAGTGAGTGCCCTCGGCAAGCATCTCTTCTCCAGATGCCCACACGGGCCACACTGGGGTCACTCAGACACGATCCAGTGGTCAAGTGTGATGACTCTGAGAGTGGAGATGGGAGGTTAACTAGCTTTAAACTGGCAGGTCTGCTGCACTGGCAGCCATTAGGGGCTGTCACAAGAGTCCTTTTTTCTCAGAGCTCCCGACACCCCACTAGAAGTGGTCCTGAGGAGTGGGGAGGTGGGGGAAGGGCATCAGGCCCGATGGAGGGCTGCAGTCAGGGCCAAGGTTGCTGGGCCCCTCTGTCCACTTCCCTGGGGTGCTTTCCTGTCTGTGGCTGATGTGTTTCCCATTCTGCTGGAGCTTTCTCTGGTGGCTATCTGCTGGCCGTGAACTTGGCCTGCACCTCTCCAGGCAGGTCCCCCAATCTCTCGGGCCCCCAGAGGAGACCTCTCTCTGAGTTGTTCCAGTCGGATAAGGCAGGGAAGGGGGCTGACAGTGACCTAAGACAGGCCTTGGTTGGTGGCAGGCACAGGCCTGGTTCTGGGGAAGGGGTTGGGAGGGCAGGGGTTAACTCATCCCTCTTCGGAAATCCTTGATCTTGAAGCGTGAACACTCACAAGGGCGAACTGGGTCTGGGGGTGCTGGTTTTGTTTGGGTCTCGCTCTATTCCCTCGCAAGTCTGGGCCGGGGGCTGTAATGGCTTCTGGCCAGGCTGGCTCATGCTCTCTGCCTCTGTTTCTCCACATTGAGCAGCAGCGTCCAATTTCTTCGCGGCCAGCTGTGTCCCCTGTGCGGATCGGACAGCCTTCCCCAAACTGTGTCAACTGTGTGCGGGGAAAGGAACGGACAAGTGCGCCTGCTCCAACCACGAACCGTACTTCGGCTACTCGGGGGCCTTCAAGTGAGTGGGACAAACTCCTGCTCCGTCTGGGCTCCTAAGTGTCCGGTGTCCTCACGCTGGGGCTCCCTACAGGCCAGCGCGTGCTCCCCTCCTATGAAGTTGAAAAGGGAGCCCCTCTCCTGGGACCCTTACTGTCTCCCGAGAGTTCTCTCAGTGGACTAGGCAGAGCCTGAAGTGACAGGCATGGCCCTAGTGTCCACACCATTCTTTGGTGACAGACCCTCTGCTTTCCACTGCATCAGTGTAACCCACTCAATGCACTGGCCTCTCTCCTGCCTGCCTTCACTGCCCCTGTGCAGGCAGCTGATGTGGCTCCTTTCTTGCTCCCTCATTCCCCTTGGTTATATCCTAAACGTGTATAGAGAGCCAAGGGCACCTTTCCTCCTTCAGGAGACCCTATGCCTGTATCCTCCACCAGAAGTCTCAAAACATTTTTCAGTATCTTCAATGCCTTTTTGATGCTTTGGGGCACATGGTGAAGGACCTCCAGGTCCTGTGGGCTCATCCCCCCAATTTGGTGGTACCCCGGATGGCAGGGCACCATGGTGCTTCCACAGCTGCAGGTCTGAGGACAGGCTCTGCCCTTGTCCCAGGGCTGGACAGTGGGGTCAGACACTCAAGCCCGAGAAGAAGGGCTTGCCCGGCAGGAACTCTCCTAATGAGTCTCTTACCCACAGGTGTCTGATGGACGGTGCTGGGGATGTGGCCTTTGTCAAGCACTCAACGGTACTGGGTACGTGATGGGGAAGAATTTGGAGTTCTCTCCAAACAGAGGGCCCTCCTTTTCTTTCTGCCTCCTTTTCAAGGCTCAGTAGTCAGAGATGAGCATAGTGTGCTCCGCCTTTATCACTGCTGGGGTGTTTACCTGTGCAGAGGTGTGTGCCTGTGGAGTGCTCCCCTGGACTCCTGGGCCTCTTTCCATCATTCAACCTCCTGGACACAGGGACCCTTCCTCCTGGTCAGTGTTGTGATAGCAAAGGATTGGGGGCAGGTCTGGCTGACCTTGGCCTGTAGTAAGCCTGCCGAGATGAAACCTATTGTGGGGTACAGGCAGTCACCCTGAACTGGGCATCAGAAGCTTCTTGGCCTATAACTGGCTGTGGGATCTTTGGCAAGTCAGTTTCCTTCTGGCTCTCAGGGTTCACTCGAGGCTTCTTAGCTCACACAGTTTAGGATTCAGTGGGGTTGCAAGGGAGAGGAGGGTACAAGGGCTCATGACTCTGCCTGCAGCCGGCTCATCTGGGC